AGGAAAAGATTTTTAAACCTGGAGAAACGCTTTAGGGCACAACCCGAGCTCAAGGCTCAATACATTAAATTCATTAGCGAATATATCATGTTAGGGCACTGCACAGTCTTAAGCGGACCACGAGTGGAGCCGTCCTATTTCTTGTGTCATCATGCTGTCATTAAGGAACAAAGCGAATCAACCAAACTAAGGGTGGTGTTTGACGCATCGTGTTCTACGTCGACTGGTGTTTCAATCAACGACTTGCAATATATTGGTCCCACGATTCAAGACACTCTGTTCTCCATTTTGTTACGTTTCCGTCAGTACCGATACGTCTTGACAGGTGATATTGAAAAGATGTTTCGCCAAATTCAGGTCCACGAAAGTGACCGCAACTTGCAACTCATTCTCTGGAGAAGCGATGAACATAGTCCCCTGCAGACTTTGAGACTCAATACGGTAACTTATGGTTTCGCAAGCGCTAGCTACCTAAGCACTAAATGTCTATGGCGTTTGGGTGAAGAATGTGGGGATGATCTCATAAAGACGATCATCCAACACGACTTCTATATGGACGATCTCTTGACGGGAGCCGATTCTATACCGGATTTGCGTCATATTTTCTATACAGTCGTATCCGTTTTACGCTCAGGTTGTTTTCCACTGCGGAAATTCAAATCTAACGTACCTTCAATTTTCGAAAGTGCCCTGATAGACCCACAAGAAAATTTAACGCTAAGCGAATCTACTAGCATTTTAGGATTGCAATGGAAGCCTTCCACTGATACCTTGAATATCGTGGTAAGCATTCCAGATCAGACAGGTGATTATATAACGAAACGGTTGATACTTTCACATTCATTTAAAATATTTGATCCCCTAGGCCTTATCAGCCCTTGTACAATCCGACCTAAGGTACTCATGCAGGAATTATGGCGTCGCAGCATTGGCTGGGACGAACCAGTACCTTGTGACTTGCAGCAAACATGGGATGAGTTAAAACAGGACCTGAGCAAGTTAGAGTTCGCTCAGGTTCCCAGGTTAGCGCTTTGCGACTCACCTGTTAGCCTGGAGCTACACTCCTTTTGTGATGCATCTGCTACAGCACATGGTTGTTGTCTCTATATGCGGTCCGGCAATGATAATGGACAAGTAGTAGTTAGATTGCTATGCGCCAAATCTAGGGTTAATCCCAGCAAGCCGACTACGATTCCTCGTTTGGAATTGCTTGGAGCGTTACTAGCTGCTCGGCTGTGCAAATCTGTTCTCGAGTCCCTTCGGTGCAAGATTTCACGCTGTGTCCATTGGAGCGATTCTAGCGTAGTGCTGGGCTGGTTACGCACCAACCCTAGCAAACTAAAGACATTTGTTGCTAACAGAGTCGTAGAAATCTCCGAGACTACTAAATCAGAAAATTGGCGCCATGTGCCTACAGCCTGCAACCCTGCGGACTTGATATCTCGAGGCACCAGGGCTAGCAGCCTCCTGGATTCTGATCTGTGGTGGTCAGGTCCAGAATTTTTAAGTAAGGCTGAACCCTTTTGGCCAGTCATGGGAGAGCAGGCTGAACGTGAACTACCTGAAATAAAAATTCATTCTGTTCAAATTTCTGAAAATTTAATACCTTTTGAAAGGTTTTCTAACTTAATTAGGTTGAAACGTGCGTTTGCGTTTGCTTTGCGTTTCATACACAATGCTAGAAGCCCTAAAACAAAACGAGTTGGGCCTTTAACAGTCGAAGAATTAGGTCAGTCTTTTACGCAACTTTGTAAATTCGCTCAGCTTCAATCATTCTCGAATGAATATCATGCTTTAGCTAACAGCCGTGATATTTCAGCTCAAAGCAATCTCAAATCGCTCAGTCCTTTTTTAGATAAAGATGGCGTCATGCGTGTTGGTGGTAGGCTAGAACATTCAGAATATGGCTATGACAAGAAGCATCCCGTACTATTACATTCAAAGCACCACTTATCAGATCTTATTTTTCGGTATGAGCACATTCAACACATGCACGCAGGTCCTCAGTTATTATTGTACACAGTACGAAATTATGTGTGGCCGTTGGGTGGAAGACAGCTGGCACGCCGAACGGTACGCAACTGTGTAAAGTGCAGACGTTTTCAAGGAAAAACAGTTACACCATTAATGGGCCAACTTCCGGCACAACGCACTATGCCAGCATTTCCTTTTCAAACAACTGGCGTTGATTTTGCAGGTCCGTTTACTATTTTAAATCGCAAGGGTCGCGGATCAAAGACTTCCAAATGCTATTTGTGTCTTTTTATTTGCTTCAGATATAAATGCGTTCACTTAGAAGCAGTAACCGAACTTTCTAAAGAATCTTTTATATTAACGTTACGTAGATTCATTGGGCGCCGGGGTAAACCTCTTGAAATTTATAGTGACAATGGGAGGAACTTTGTCGCTACTGCCAAGGAGCTCGCTAGTTTTTTAAAAGACGGACCAAACCTTGTATCTGACTTTTCCGCTGTCGAACAAATTAAATTTCACTTCATCCCTGCCTACGCTCCAAATTTCGGGGGCTTATGGGAAGCAGGTATCAAGTCAGCTAAACATCACATAAAGCGCGTTGTAGGTAGTTCCAATTTAACTTACGAGGAGTTTTCCACTTTGCTTGCACAGGTGGAGGCTATACTTAACAGCCGACCTCTTTGTCCCATATCATCCTCTCCTGATGACCTCCAATCCCTTACCCCAGGGCACTTTCTGATTGGTAGGCCATTAACGTCGCAGCCTGACCCGACACTTGAGGCAGAGAAGGCATCTAACCTGCAGCGTTACGCGCGAGTGGAGCAAGCCCGCCAGCATTTCTGGAGACGCTGGCAAAATGAATACATCAGTGAGCTGCAGCAGCGCACGAAGTGGCGCACCAATAAGAGCAACATCCTACGGGTGGGTGACTTGGTTCTTCTGCAGGAAGAGAACTGTCCTCCCCTGCATTGGCGGTTGGGACGTGTGAAGCTCCTGTTTCCGGGAATAGATGGAGTGGCCAGAGTAGCGGAACTCTCCACACAAAAGGGAGATGTACGCAGAGCTGTAACAAGGCTCTGCCCTCTGCTCTGCGAAGAAGAAAACGTTCAGTAATACCCAGGGTATTCCAGCGGGGGGAGTTCTGTACGCGCCCTTTGCAGAGTGTGTGTAGTGACATTTATTGTTATCTGTGTTACGTGATCTATGGCAACCCTGTAAAAAATAGACTTCCATATCCGCACTTACCTTTTTCTAATTATGGACTCCACGCCGACATTAAATAATTATTAATGTTACAAAAGTTAAAATTGTTGATGTAGAATTAAATATTGGTTTTGTCGCTTCCAAATTTGTTTTATTAATAAACAGACTACTTTTATTATAGAAAAAAGATCATGGTTGCGCGCAAAAAAATTAAAACTCATGAAATTGCGAACAAAATCCGCGTACCCAGGAACTTTGCTAGTACAAATAAAAAAAAATATATATATACGTAGCTTTAAGTCATAACGAAAAGATAAAGAAACAGGCAGTTAATAAAACATCAAAAAAGTACTCAAATCCTGTGTATGTTTTTTTCTACTGTATGATACATGATATCTTAATGAATAAATCAATTATAATATATTGTATTCAGCCATTTTTAACGTCCCACTGCTGGGGGTAGGCCTCCCTTCAGTACGAGGGGGATCAGGTCATAGTCCACCACACTGGCCAAGTGCGGGTTGGCGGACTTCACACGTGTTTCGGAAACTTGCTAGGTTCTCTCAAATATGTATCGCAAATTGTTATCCAATTTTTAATGATTTTGTTATTATATTTAGTTGATAGACCTTATAGTGGTCTCATATAAATGAATAAATAATAGTATAAAAAACATAAAAAACACGCTTTAACGATGAAACAAACTAAAAAGTAGAAAATAATATCTATACTAATATTATAAAGAGGCAGTTTGTTTCTTGTTTGTTTGTTTGAACGCACTAATCTCAGGAACTACTAACCCGATTTGAACCAATCTTTTTGCATTAGTTAGCCCGTTTATTGAGGAAGGCTATAGGCTATATATCATCACGCTACTACCCAAGGGATCGGAGCAGTAATCATAAATTTCAACAAATCGGGCAGACTTCCATACATTATTGTAAAACTGATGTTTATAATCAAACAAATTTAATGCGGGTGAAACCGCGGGGCACAGCTAGTTTAGTATACGAATAAAGTGATTTAAGCTAAAATTAATGTTATTGTTAAAAAGTGTGGGGTGCTCGATATCAGTTGTTATAAATATTCCATTGGTATGATTTCTAAAAATAGAGTTAGTATAAAAACATTAACACACAGCACCATCTAGTTCCATGGTAAGCTGCGAGGCTTGTGTTATGGATACCAGATAGTTGGTACACTACATTAAATACATACATATTATAAATATAAACCCATGACTGGAGTATAAACATTCGTGCTCATCACACAAATGAATGCCCCCAGCGGGACTCGAACCCGCCACCGCTGGCACATCAAGTAGGGTCACTACAAACTGAGCCAAACGTGTCGTCATAAAAATATACAAAAAATTTTTTTTACTTTTTAATTCTGTTCATCATGAAAGCGGTTTTTTTTAGCTTTTTAAACTATACTTTATTTTTCAAGTTTTAGTTTGATCTGCTATAAACGGGTATTTTTATAATTTTATAAATTATTATTTTTTTAATAATTTATTGTATTGTCATCGGTCCTTGTTAAATGTGCAAATTTTCAGTTCAATCTAAAGTTTTGAAGTGGGTGAAAACCTCGTTGAAGGATTCCGTTACATACATAGATAGATAGATACAGGTGAAGCAAAAAAAGCGTGTTAACAAACACACATATTATCTATTACATACTAAAATGTAAGGATAAATTCTTCACAAGCTATAACACTATCGTAGTTGTGTAAAGGTACAAGTAGTTATGTAAATTACTATTTAAATTTACTTCGGCTACTTTTATACATGTTCCAATCCTTTTTGAGACACACTATATCACCTCCTAAGTTTCCTGTAAAGAAAAAAAAAGATATTTAAAGCTTGATACTTGAAAAAAAATGACATCTATACTAATATTATAAAGAGGTAAAGTTTGTGAGATTGTGACTTTGTGACGTTGTAGGGGGTAATCTCTGGATCTACCTACTGAGCCGATTTAGATGAAATTTTGTAAGAAGATACATAGTTTGAGACCTTAGGCAGAACAAGGATACTTTTTATCACGGAAATCACCCCTTAAGGGGATGAAAATTTTGTATGGGGAATCAAGCTAGGGACGAACCCGAACGAAGCGAGGCTGAGACGCTAGATTTTTGGTTTCTGATTCCCACAATTTACACATGATCAATATTCACAGCATTTTCTATATGCCAATGTGTTACTACCTGATAAAAAGAAGTATAATAAAAAACGTATGTATGTACTTATGTACGCACGTAAGAAGTTATACATCTTTGGGGCAACAAAACAAAAATAGCTAAAGATTTCATCCCGTATGTCACAACTGTCTGTTTGTAAAAGTAATGCAGCTAACTTCATCATGCTTTTTGGCTGTCGGTGTGCGCGCGCATCGTAAAAATTATACTCTCATAATTTTTTCCAAACCTCCCAAAAGAAGTATAACTTCAAAAAAAACATCACTGAACCACTTACCTATTCAAAGGCTTTTCCTTATATACAATAGCTTTCCTCGGCCTTCTTGTTCGTCCTTCACTCACCATTTCACTGCCACTGCTATCACTATCACGGCTATCACGACTGTTGCCGTCTACACTGTTGTTACCGTGGCCATCACGGTTTCGACTATCACGTTTCCGATTATCATGATTATGACTATCACGTTTATGATTATCACGACTACGATTGTTATCACTACTTTGATTTCTATTCCGATCGGTTTGGCTGTTATTTGATTCTTCTTGATTGTTGTGATCATGATTGTTGTTGCTGATCCGATTGTTGTGACCGTCGGTACTGTTAATTCTGTTCAATGTTTTCGCTTGCGACACTCCAGAAGAACCTGGTTCTGGTTGATCATTCTTTGCCTCTCTGTAAATAATTAGATCTATTATTTTTATTTTCAGTGTCTTACTTTATAGAAAGGTTATTCTTATTATATAAGAGCATAGATTATTTAAGAGATTCTAAAAGAATTGTATTTGAAATTCATCAAAATAAAAAGTGCAAACAGAATAACATTTAAAAATAGTAATAAATAAATTTAAAAATATGCTTTATGACTTATTTTAAATACGAGTATTTATTTTGCTGACAGCCTCCGCTGCTCTCCATTTGTTGACTCCATTAAAATATTTGCTTGATTGTTAGTCTAAGTTAGTGCATTTGTACATTTAAAATAGATACTACATTTAGAAACAATAAACTTTATAAAAATATATATGTATATACAACACTCACAAAACTATAACCCTCGAGTCCGTAGAACCATTGGGACTTGGTGCATCAAATCTCATCAGTCTCTTTGATGGTGAAATGTCCCGTACTTGGTACTTCGGAGACCCATCTCTTGTCTGCTTCCTGGCATCCGGGTTATTTGGATTATTTCTCTGCAATTTTGGCGGTGTTTCCTCCTTTGACCGTTTTGGTGGTGACACATTGGTTACGTCATCGTCTAAACGCATTTTTGCTACTAGCACTTTGAGGATACGACCATTGTTACTGTAAAAATAAAATTACAAAATAAATATTAATATTAAATGAAATATTGTATAAAAAAACATCAATACATGCAATATATATATATGGATATTGATAAGGCCGTGAAATTATAATTTAACCGTTTTTACAATTTACCTGTGACATATAATACACTGAAATGAAAATAGTTTTTGAGAACTCTCCATCACTATTCACGATTTTTATTAAGATTATTATTGCCATTCATACCCTAAACGCTAATATGTGGAATATTAATATCAAGATCTCGTCAAATCTGACCCATCTCATTCATTGACTCCCTTAAAAAAGTACGTACTTCGATACTCGGGGAATTAGGCCATAGTCCAATGCGGGTTGGCGGATTTTACATATAACTTGTGAGTTATATGAGACGTACAAAAGTATAAGGTCCATCACCCACCTGTACCGCCTGGCGGGCCTGGGCGAGTAGTGCGGCGAGGCGGCGGCGCGCGGCGTGGCGGGCGGCGACGTGCGGCGGCGGCGGCGCACCGTGGGCGTGAACTCGCACGCCAGCGCCGGCGCCGGCTCCGCGCCCGCCACGCGCGGTTCCTGACGGGAGTGTTATATATTTGTGTGTGGGTAAATTTAGACAAATTCCACCGAGGGTTCCGTACATATTTGTAGAAAATCAGTGTAACTTTAATTTTCAACTTTTTTATTTTCTGGAATTTTTCCTTTATTTGTGCTGTAAGATCTTGCTTTTTGCCAAATTTCGTGATTCTAGGTCAACAGGAACTACCATATAAGTTTTTCGACCCAAAACCTATAGGGTACTTCCGGTTGATCTAGAATTGTCAATTTTGGTTAAAAACAAGGTCTTCTAGCACAAGTAAAGGGAAAATTCCGAAAAACTAAAAAAGTTGAAAAGTCCAGATCCGTTCAGTCGTTCTGGCGTGAAAGAGTAACAAACATCCACATTCACAAACTTTCACATTTATAATATTAATACAGATTAATTATTGGGAAGTAATGAGATTACAAGCATTTACCTCACTTAGCCTCACGCTATGGCTCGGTCCAGGCTCAGCATTTAGTGTATCTTCAAACTCAGTCGTCGAATCTGGCTCTAAATTAGTTGAACTTTTTATTTTTTTCTGGAAAATGAAACAAAGACTACGATCATTATGAGACATATACAAAGAGACTGTTTGAAATCGAGGGATTACTGAAACTTCTAATAAATAACTTTGACCGGTATTTAGATTTTACTTTAAAATAATATCTTATAATATTAAACAAGCAATTTTTGTATATTATATATAAATTTATTTTGTGTATCTCAGAAACGGCTATGACGATTTGGATCAAATGTAATGTGTAATGTTTGGATCAAAAATGTATTTAGATAAGGTTAAGCTTTTTAAGTTTATCTAAAAAATTTATTTTATGAAAAAATAACGCGATTTTTACACCTTTTCTTGAAGTTCTGTCGAGCAGGTACTTAATTTAAATAAAACCCTTCTATTTAATACTCTTAACGCAGTCTTTTAGTAGTATAACTTAAAATATCACCGACCAATCTCGAACGTGAATCCTCCATTCAACGTGACATTGGCGAAATAACTTGTGCCCAACTGATACGCATTGCAGCCATTAAATAAAGAATTGAATTGAGTAATATTTTATTTTAATTTTACATATCTACAGGATCAGTAGTCTACAAAGTAATATTTCCTATATTGAAATCTTCGATCATAAAAGTACTAGATACACAATCCCATGCAAAAGTTCTCTTAAAACTGTCACCAATTGTGTTTAGATAATTATTCTACTTGAAATAAATATACAACAATGTAAACTGAACCTAAAATGTAATGCTTAGTTGTTTTTACAAGCGCGAACAAATGTTCAAATGAGCGCTCTTGCGGTGAGGACATTTTTTGTCGCTGAATGTGTATCTGGCATTTTTTTTATTGTTGTATGAAATAGTTTTTATATTTTTTGTTTTATTTTAATGTTAGTTTTTACCTGAAAGTAGATATATAGATAAATTCAAACCTTTGAACTGGGTCGATCTAGCAACCAGCTTGGCCCTTCTAAGGGATTTTCTGTTCTTGACCTGATGTAAAAAAACAGTATTATGGATATTTTCTTTATAATGTATATACGTTTAATGAATGAAATATATATATACAACAAAATCATGTTGCATTCACAATTTAGTATTTATATTAATTAATATGCTGGGACATTAACACACAGCGCCATGTTGACTTGTGTTATGGATATGGATACCAGATAGTTGATACACTACACATATATAACTATTAAATACATATTATAAATATAAACATCCATGACTGGAGTACAGACATTCGTGTTCATCACACAAATGTATGCCCTCAGCGGCACTCGAACCCGCGACCGCTGGCACAGCAAGTAGGGCCACTACAAACTGAGCCAAACGTGTCGTTAAATAATTTAAATATAAATTATAAGCAGGTATACATACTTAAACATATAATACATATAAAAAGCTGAGTTATGTTACCTTTCTGGAGTCAGACCATCTTCTGGTTCAATCTCTTCACTCACAACATCTAGTCTTCTCCTGAAAAAAAAAAGACTTTAAATGTACCTTAGATTTAATGAAAAGAATCGGACAAGTGCGAGTCTACCTCGCACACCGAGGGTTCCGTAGCACTAAACATTAAAATAAGTTTATAATCGAAAAATAAAGCAAAAAAAAATATATAATAACAATTGTGTGATGCAGCTACAAATTTTACAGTTTTCGGATTTTTCCTTTACTTGTGCTATAAGACATTACTTCTTGTCAAATTTCATGATTCTAGGTCAACGGGACTATCCCTTGCGAGTGTCAAAATATGCAGTATAAATGGCCGCATCTGTTGATTGCGTTGACTTAGAAGTTTGATTTTTTCACAGCTCCAAGAGATTGCAGACCTGATTATTCGAGAAAAAGAGTCTTGATAGACAGTCAGACAAACAGACAGACGAACAAAGTGATCCTATAATGGTTCCTTTTTTCCTTTTTAGGTATCTAACCCTAAAAAGAAATAACAAACAAATATTTAAATAAATAAAATGTTAATTAAAGCATATATAATTAAAGCATATATAAGATCATCGATTAATTCCTTTTTTTATGAAATCGGTCAAATATTTTAATGCAATGTTTCACACCTTGGTCACATATAATTATCTAATTAGTACTACCACAGTATTGTGGTAGCACAGTGGTATCGCCTCTGCTTGGGAAACCAAGTGAAGCGGGTTCAAATCCTGGGTCTCGCAACTCTGATATGTTCATATGCGAATCTATATCCAACACGATTATATGATGAAAGAAAAGATTGGGAGGAAACCTGCATGTCTGAGAGAATCTTGTAAGTTTTGGAAAGACATATGAAGTCTGCAAATTCGCATTTGATTATGGCCTGATCCCTCTCGTTAAAGAAAGAAAGAAGTTGTACGGAGGCCCACCCCTAGCAGTGGAGCATTAACCGTTTTCTTGTCCCATGAGTCATTTAAGAACATTTCGATTGTTTAACTATTGTGTCTGTTTTGCGGACAGTTAATCTGTTGAAAAGGTCTGAATACTAGCCAATATTGCGCCAGCGAATGGGAATGCGACGGCCGCCCTAGACAATATATTTAAATGAAATTAAATAAAAAAACTACATACGACTCTTCAAAATCTTCGCTTTCTGTAATATTTTGGGATTCCTCCATCATTCTCTCAGCGCTATCTAAAATAAAAAATATATAAAAAAATAAAACATTTGACATTTATATTAAACTATTTTTTCAGGTTCTATTTATTTTTTTATTCCCGACGTTTCGAATGCTCTACCGTGACCACGTTTTCGGACATTTTGCGTTCTTTTTTTGTTGAAATAATAAAAAAAAATAAAAAATTCATGCTTTCGCGTAAATCTAATAAAGTGTTTGTAGCATTAGTTACATTTCCGTTTTCTGAAACAGAATAGAAAAAGAACCTTCTATCATAGCTTTGTAGCTCTTTTATTTTTCTTTTTCTTTTTCAAAATATTTTAATAACCAATTTTAAATTTCTACATTTGAAGCTGATGTTAGATGTTCTAATATTGCAGAGTAAAATATTAACCATATTTGGATGATGTTTGGATGTTTGATGTTTTTGCCCCTGTCGATATCAAGCAGGGGACTGTGAGACTCTTACTAAAGGCAAAGGACTGTGGGTATATTACTTAGTAAAGGCCGGGGATTATGGGATTCTTACTCACAAAACTTGTAATAAGTCTATTTGAATAGTCATTTCATAAAGGCAGGGGACTGCAAGGCTCTTACTTAAAGTCCACCAGCCAAACCCAGTAGTTGTTAAATCGCTAAACAGATAGGGTTTGTAAAGAGTATTCTGATTGAGAGGTCCACTTGAAAAAGAAGTCCATGAAGACCAACATATAGCATGTCTTCTAATATACTTCACAATAAGACCTACTACTGCTACCAGACCATGGTGTCGGAGAGCCCACTAAGTGTATTTTACCAAACTGATACAAGGTAATATGATAAAACAGATAGAATGCACAAAGATTTAAAAAAAATGGTAAAATTAATCTCATTACCATCTAAAGCCAGATCTTCAGTGCTGTTGTCTGCATGATTTACTTCCATATCAGTGTCTGCATTATTAACTGATCGTTCCCCAGCATCTATCCTTGTTAATGGTATGTATACATCTGTGTAAAGATATTATTTCAGTTTTAAAGAGATCAGAGTGTTTAATGTAGTCGTGAATGATTAATATAAAATAAACAATATATTGGAAATAAATAAAAAACAGTTATAAAAAATACTTCTTCATCTTCCTGACCTATACCGGTCACGGCGGCCAATCTCAATGAGGCTAACCAACTGCGCAGGAGATATTATAGTGCAGTGCGTGTGTCGGTGTACGCGCACACACTACTGGCACTCTCTGTTCCTGTCACTGTCAAAGTCTGATGGGACGGTACTTTGACATTTACAGTGAGAGTTAAGACATAGGACCGACGGCTTTACGTGCTCTCCGCGGCACGGGGGTGCAACAGCACCAACTTTCCAACCTTGGGGCTACTACTGAGAATATCCTAATTAAAAAGACTCAGTAATTAAACTTGGCCCGACCTGGGACTTGAACACAGGACCTCTGAATCTGCAGCTGGACACTTCGTTTAATATACTAGAGGCAATTTACGAAAAGTAAACAGTTATATTAATTTCTCAAATTATATAATATTAAAAATAGATTAAAAAATGGTACCTTGCAACATATGTAAAGGCACAGCCCTTTCTGGTACACTATGATTTTGTTCATTTGGACTCCTACTTACAGATCCTGAAACAAGGAAAATTTATATAATTTGCAATGACAATAACAAATAATTAAAAAATGAGTTTCGTCTAGTTTATAAAAAAAAATAAAGCTATTGGTAAAATGAACAAAATATGTACACATTAATTAGTACATGAATTATTATTATTCTAATTGATATAATTCTTAATCTAGACAAGCAATAAAAATAAACATTATAAATATTTTTAATTTTTACATAATATGTTACACTGCTTTCAAGTCCCATTATATAATATTATCTATACTAATCTATTCTAATATTAAAAAGAGGAAAAATTTGTTTTTATGTTTGTTTATTTATATTGAACCAATTTAGATGAAATTTGGTACAAAGATAGCTTGAGACCCTGGGAAGGACAGTTTTTATCCCGGAAATCATTCCTTAAGGGGGTAAAAATGGGGTGAAAATTTGTATGGGGAAGCAACCTATTAATACTATAAATGCAAAAGTTTGTATAGATGGATGTTTGTTACTCAATCACTCCAGCTGAACAGATCTTGATGAAATTTGTCACAAAGATAGATTATAGTCTGGAATAGCACATAGGTTACTTTTTATCCTGGTATGTATGGTTCCCGTAACCGAATGAACCGAACTAAGTAAGGTTGGGTCTCTAGTAAATTTATGTGTAATGAAACCAAAGTTTAGGTATTATTTCATTAAAAAAAATTGTAGCTCCACCTTTTCTGAAGCTGGTCGAAAAGATTTATATCTTATATTAAATACTTACTTGAAATATTTGACTGTAAAGTTCTACTTAAAGACACAACTGGTTGTATCAGTCTTCCACCAATCAACATTGGTGGCACTATATTTATCTTTTCTGATGATGGAGTACTACTCAATGTACTCCATCTTGGCAAAGCTGTATCTAACTCTTGACGTTCTTGCACATATGTTTTAGCTAGTTCCAAGGTACGAGCCACTGCACTTGAAGCTTGAACTAAATGTGACAAAGCCTCTTCACTTGCTGACTGTAATGCAGCATCAAGTTTGAGTGCATTAGCTGCTCCACCACTACGCAGTCTCTGCATGTAAATTATTATATATTATGATTTGTTTAATTTTTAAAATCGAACATTAAAACTAGTATGCTAACATGTATTACATTGCTTATTAGAAAAATAAAAAAAAATTATTTATAACTATAACAATGCTGAAATATGCAGCAATAATATTATGGGTCTCTAGTTAATACTCTACTCTTATATTGTTTATCATAATAATACAAATATATGATATTGTGATATGCACATAATGTGCTCTACATTCATAGAATTTACTGAGTACCGCTACTATCCATTTTGAAAAGCTTTGTTGAACTTTCTCTTTATTAAAACGTTAGTGATTCAACATCACCACAGAAAAACAAAAAGAAGTAGAAAGTGAGGAATGATGATTGATTATGGTAATCTTACACTGATTTTAAGTCTAAGGTCGTTGATTTCTTTCATAAGGTCTAATTTTTCATTCTCCCTCTGCGCGGCCGTCATTTTCCAATACTGAACTTTCTGCACCAATTCATTATTCTTTTCTCTTAGGTCCTTTAACTCATTTTCCACATCTTCCATGGTGATAACTTAATAAAACTCACGCTCACTATTAAAGAAGAAATTCTTCACAAATATCACGTATTTAAAAACTAAATAAATAATATCTGCAATAACGATCCAGATCTTTTTTCAAACAGAATGACATTGTAAGTTGTGACAGCTTGTTTATGCTTGACACTAGACAGCACAGAATACTTTAAACTCCGCTCCCCCCCTCCGCCCGCGTTCAGATGACCAAAAACCGAATTCTTAGGTTTTACTTATTAGTATTTTTTTTTTTTTTTTTTTCAAAATATCTAAATATGCACGAAATGAAATATTCACCCAATAAGACTTATTTAATAATATAAATTACCGAACATTATTTGCCTGTATTGAATAAGCTTATATTTTTTTCGATCCTATGTTTAGACTTTAGTCTGTCCTTTTCAAAAGATCTGTCTGGGTCTACTATCTAATATTTAATCTGTAAGGGGGGTAGTCTCCTTAATCTGTGGTAAGGGGTAAACTTAGTCCATAGAGTATATTGCTACATACTTAGTCTTCTGTCAAAGAAGCGTGTGGTGAAAACACAACGCGGATTGAGGTTATAATATTGTAATTTCATTTTCAATAACAACAATGTCTTTTCGTGGAAGAGGCGGTGGTGGCGGTCGAGGTGGATTTGGAGGTAGAGGCGGTGGAGGAGGAGGCAGAGGATTTGGCGGACGAGGACGCGGCGGAGGTGGCGGTGGATTCAGACACCAGGATCAGGGGCCTCCTGAATCGGTTATTCCTCTCGGTCACTATGGCTGGACTGTACAAGATGACCTTGTATGTAAAGTAGATATTGAGGATGTGCCTTATTTTAATGCGCCAATTTACTTAGAAAACAAAGAGCAGATTGGTAAAATTGACGAAATATTTGGTAATTTACGTGATTACTATGTATCAGTGAAATTAGGTGAAAATATCAAAGCAAAGAGTTTTAAAGATGGGCAACAATTTTTTATTGATCCAGCAAAATTATTACCTTTAAAAAGATTTTTGCCACAGCCACCGGGAGCAAAGCGTGGTGGTGGTGGTAGAGGAGGAAGAGGTGGTGGTGGATTTGGAGGTAGAGGAGGAAGAGGGGGCGGTGGATTTGGAGGCAGAGGAGGCGGCGGCTTTGGAGGAAGAGGCGGAGGAGGTGGAGGACGAGGAGGGGGTGGCTTCGGAGGAAGAGGAGGTGGTGGTGGATTTGGAGGCAGAGGAGGTGGTGGATTCGGCCGCGGTGGTGGTGGAAGAGGTGGTGGCTTCCGAGGAGGTCGAAGATAGTGATGACAATGATGTAATACATGAGTATTGGGACTTTATTATTAATAAGTTTGTGTGGCTCTTGTCACATAATAGTTTACCCTATAAGAAAGGTTATTTAAAAGGATGTATCTTCAGTTTTACTTTATAACGTTATGAAAATCAAAGTACTGGTTATTATTAGTATGGTACAAGAAAAGAACAAGATGCAAATAAATATATTGTACTATAATTTGTCTTATTTTTATTTGTAAAGATGACCAATAACTATGTCTATTAAACAGCATAATCTTTATATTATGGCAATTTATTATGATGTATGCCATGATCGAATTAATGATGTTAAGAATGCTTATTATGTACTAAAGCAATACAATGTTGTTTACATTTAAAATAAGAAATAAAAGAGATGACCTTTTTTTTGTTTGTTCATTATTATTAATCAAGTCCATGTTCCATTTATCTATTATATTTTTCTGATATAGTTCATAGTTGAGACATCATTTCATAATCACCTGTTACAATTATTTATAAAAAACAAATGAGGTAACAAATAAATTAATTTATTTTTATTCACAACTATTACAATAATTATAAAATATTATAACTCATTTATTCTAAGTTTTCTAACTCTCCTTTAGTTGGAGTGGGTACAAAGTTAAAAGCCAGTGCTTTTCCTCTATGATTGAAGATATAAAAAGATGGCAGGTTCCTCTGGGTCTCCCATTTCCTATTATTTAATTCAGCTGCAGCTTGTATTTCACGAAGTTTTCCTGATACATTCAGAACTCCCCACATTATTGCAAACAGGCTTGTTACTGCTTGTATTATTATCTGAAATTTATATTTATATACAGTTACTAAAAGAATTTACTTAGTTATTTGGTTATTCTCTTCATAAAGTTTCAGATAAGACGATATTATAATTAATAAGACATTTTATACTTACATCTAATGGAAGTGTCGTAAATTCTTGTGACGTTATTCGAAGATATGAACGATCTGTGAAAAAATATTATTATATATATAGAATATATAAATATAGAATTACAATATTTCAAATAATATTTTCTTTGCATAAAAATTAAATATGTATTTATTTTATACTTACGCTGAGCTGCAGAAAATGCAGAATGAAATAATGATATGAAACCAACAATAACAATTATTTTGTGTATAGATGCCATTTTGTAATATAGATATTATTATTTGAAACAGTTTTTTTCTGTACACAATTAAAGTGAACTTAAGAATTACGTATAATGGGCACACTTCACATACATAAAATAATTAAAATCTCCGAATTCCAATTTCCGATTCCGAAATCTCAAATCATTTAAGCTTGACAGTTGACAAATGTCCATTGTGAACATTGACAAATACGATCACAGATGAGTAACAAAAGTTACGATTTCGACCAAATTCATAACCAAAAAAGAAAAGTAAAACAAGATACAAATTTTAGTTAAAATATATCTCGATGTCTACGAATAGGTATGCTCGAGTAAAGGTTTTATTTGCAATCTGATTGTATAACTTAATCATTTTAAAGTTAAATTCACCACTTTATATTATGTTAAAATAAAAACCAAATGATACATAAATGGAATAATATTTGTCTTTATCAAATCATTTATACAATAAATATTTCTAGTCAGTAAGTTTATTATAATCTATGGCAGGTAATTTATAAAAAAAAATCTAATTTGTATTTTGTATTTGTAATTAATATATTTTTATTCTGTGGACAAGCACGTATGTTTTGTTAGAACTTAGAAGGCGGTTGTGTTTTACCGTATAATATAAACTCGATAAATTGAAATTTCTATATAAATAGTGATAAGAAAGAATTGAATATGCCAAAACCAAAGATACAAGAATTTGAATTTGAAACAAAACCTTCGCGAAAAACGGCAAAACAGAAGTTTTCCGATTTTATTTTTGACGAAAACACTGGGGCAGTACTTGGCAGAACTCCTGAAAGTTGGGGTTTGTATTTATATATTTTAAATATATTTTCATTTTTTTTAATTTACTTAATACTTTATTAGCTTATAAGCTATTCTTTTGATTATAATAACACGCTTTATCAAGAATCGAAAGTTTAAAGTAGAGGGCGTGGCTGTAATTCAAACTTAAAGAAAGCATTTTTTTAAATCTGTTAATTTTCAAAAGTAGGTACTAAAACTACTTTCTAAGCTATTATTTAAATATGTATTGAAGAAATAAATTCAACTTAATACAGTGTATTTAATAATAATAAAGTATACACAAAATTATTACAAAAGTAAAAAGTAATAAGTAGTATAAGCTCAAAACTTATTAAAATCATGGTAAATTAAATAGAGTTGTATCAATATATTTTAGATTTTTTTAAATGTAATTTCAGTATGTATTTAATTAATATATATTATGGCACATTTGTATTTTTTAAATAAATGTTCTCAAAATATATTTTTAAATGTGTGCTGAAATTTTAATTATACTCAATTATCATGTCTATATATAATGTGGGGAAGCCCCATTTTTATTAATTGAAAAAGCATGTCAATGGTGCTTATAAATTGCAGCGTCTAGCCCTAATCTCTGAAGCCTTATATTAGTTGGTATGTACTGCTATAATTAAACTGTGGTGTCAGATTCCCCCCTCCGGTTTATCCTTGATTCAATCTATGTACTTGATTTTAAATGCCACTTGAACTATGATGGTTTAATTCCTAGGTATTAATATATCAATAATATGTACATAAATAAAATATATGTATGTATATTATTTCCTAAGAGTTCTTGAGTGGTGGTTACTTAATACTTTTTAATATTATTTATCACATTTGAAGTTTATGAAATTCCAGATAAAAACATAAGATGGAATCCCACTAAAGCATAAAGAAATAGCATATTAGTACTTTAATTTAAATGAAGTAATTAATTTATACCTCTTTGTCTCCAGGTAAAATAATATTATTCTACATAATATTTTATGCAGTTCTGGTTGCTATATTTGCAATTTGTATGGCCACATTCCTGCAGCACTTTGTTAATCCTCGTGTTCCAAGGCTTCAGCAGGAGTCCAGTTTGATTGGTACAAGCCCTGGTCTTGGATTTAGGCCTTTGCCCCCTGATGTGAGAAGCACCCTTATCTGGTATAAGGGTACAGGATATGATAGCTACAAATACTGGGAAGATCAACTCAAAGATTTTCTTTCGGGTAAGTTTTGTTATAGCTACACTAATATTATAAAGAAGTAAAGTTTGCACAAGGTCTCCCACAAGGTGGACCAACAACTTGGTCCAAGTCACTGGAATCCATTGGATATGGATGGCACAAGACTGGCAGTCTTGGAAATCTTTATGGCAAGCCTATGTTCAGCAATGGACATAGTGGTTTGGATGTAGCCGGGCGCGAAGCCAAGAAAAGCACTGGGAGGTGGCCCACTGCGGTAGGCGGTATACCATACGGGTAGTTCCAAGTACTTCTCTGACAGCAGAGTGGACCATGGGAGCAACCCTTTGGTTGTGTGATCTGCTATTGGAGCGTCGTGGTTGAGTGCGTAAGCGATCCTGCGCCGCCCCATTAAGACGGGGGAGGTTCTGTTGAGTTTAAGTTGGTAGTACTAAGTTTTCTATCCATTGAGTTCCACATAACCACCTGTATATTTATACAGGTGGTATACGTAAAAGCATTTCGAGGGTTATTTCTGAAATTACTGATCTGATTCTCAAAATTCCTTGACTAATAGAATCATTATCACCATACACGTTATCGACGAGTGCTATACAGGCTGTTTTTATTGCGTAATCATGTTATTATTGTCAGTAAACATAATAACTTTAATTGAGGTCAGAAAAAACTGACCGTTGACTTTTTTTATCGGCGTGGTGGTTCGAAATACAGCGATAAATATATGGCAAAAACACACAGGGGACGCACCCGAACTAAGCCTAGAACCCTCGTAAGTACAAGTAAAAATTCAATTCAATTTTCTTATTAATGGCTTCAAAGAGGTATAATTCTTAATTTAATTATTTTAATTAAAAAAAAATCGAAAATGTCAACTACAACGCTACGGGTTCCATTTTTTTTATTTAACTGACTTTCAAAAAGAACGAGGTTCTATGTTTGTTAAGAGCTTTCACCTAAGTCTCGGTTCTTGTCTGGTTACTATAAATTTAGCCTTTGTCATTTTCACTCAAATTCTCTTCCTGGAGGAATTCAAAAGGAGTTATCGGATAACTTTTGTGGCTAAAAATGTTTAGTTGTAGACAAACTATTGTTTATTATAGATGTAGCATGGAATTATTAATTAAAACTGGTTTTAGCCGGCTAACGATATTTAACGGAATGGCCGGTGTATCTGTATAACTTAATTAGTGCCAATAATTTAATTTTAGATGATTACTTAGTATTGATTATTTAAGTAAAATACTGACTCGACTTTTAGGCTTATCTTGAAATGTATCAGGAACCACCTTTAAATTATAACCTACTAGCACAACCCGCGGCTTCGCTTGCGCTAAAACTACAAAAAAAACTCTAAAATGTAAGGTTTCATACAAACTTTCATCCGCTATTTTACCCCCTTATGGAATGAATTTCAAAAAATGTTAAAACACGTATTTAATTAATTGTATTGAATAGCATTAATACCAAGTTTCAAATAATTTTATGATACTTAAATATTTTTTTGGATTGTATTGTAACGTGTTTTCCCGTGGGAAAAAGATAATCTTCCGCGGTAAAAAGTAGCCTATGTCACTCTCCAGCCCTCCAACTATCTCCACATAAAAAATCACGCCAATCTGCCAAGCCGTCTCGACGTGAAAGAAAGACAAACACAATTTCACTATTATAATATAAGTATGGATTACTAATAAAAAAAAGAAAAACTATGAAAATTGATTTATAATTTCCTAAGTTATTGTTTAATATATATAAAAAGAAACCATCGAATTAAGTACTTAACTCTTTTCGAAGTCGGTCAAAAAGTCATACGGTGTGCTTTGATTTGTGTCGGCTGGCACCAACTTAGAAAATATCTGATTAGGTATCTATAGTAAATGAAAACTACCAATCAGTAATTTTTCACTTTTTAAAATTTTTTAGAAGTTATTTATTTTTTAAGTTTTTATTTTTCAATTTTTAGTGTAGACATACCTAGTGGTAGCAAAGTAAGAAGAAAATATTTTGAAAATTCAGGAGGTAAAAAATCAATCATCCCCTATTTTCTACACTTGAGGGTGGACTTTTTTTTTATTTAAATGTGACCAACTTTAAGGTACCTATCTAATAAAAAAAGTATCATCGAAATCGGATAACACTAAAAAGCTATGCGTGGACAAACATAAAAATAAAAAATAAAAATTACATGTCGAATTGAAACCTTTTATTTCGTCGGTTAAAAAATAAATATGTTGCTTGTAATTTTAGACGTATGTATGTGCAATACGCGATAACCCCGCAGATATCTATATTTTATACTTCTATGGATGTATGTTTGCTTACTATTTCACGCCAGAACGGCTGAACGGATCTAGATGAATTTTGGCACTTTGGAGATAGATTATAGTCTGGAATAATACATAGGTTACTTTTTATCCCGGAAAAATGTACGGTTCCGAAGAAAGCTAGGGCGAGCCTCTAGTAAATAAATAAATTTAATATACACATTTCTATTCCAGTATACAAAAGAAAAGGTCAAACGGCTGGTGCCGGTGAGCATATTCACCCTTGTAAGTTCAATGCTACAACGCCGCCGGGCAAAGTGTGTGATGTGGACGTCAGTGGATTGAAGCCGTGTGTAGAAGAAAACCACTTCTCATTTCATAAGTCCTCACCGTGTATATTTCTGAAGTTGAACAGGTATTCAAGTAATTTTAGCCGTCTAATAATAATAAAAAATACATTATAAAGCAGTCCTGAGGACTGCCGACAGAAGTAAAAACTTAAAATTATAAACAAACAGTTGCTATTTTTTGGATATTCAAATTAATTGTTTCATCTCGAATTGAAATTTGTAAATTAAAACTGTTTACATTTATCTGGTTTTAACATCTATCGGCACTCTGAGTGTTAACGTTAACACGTCACGTGACCATGTCGATGATGACTTACGTGAATTTACTCCCCATCCAAACCTGCATATAGATGTTTTCACTTCAATAATAGTTTATTTCTCAAAAAGACGCACATATTGTATTTGAACAACATTTGTACAGTACTATTTGGAACAAATAATTTAAATTATCAATACAAATAATAAAAGTCGTCCTTTTTTACTTTGTTAGGAATCTTCTATATAAATAAAAAACAATTGCCAAATGTAAGTGAACTGTTTCAGAACGGCTGCACCTATTTGGCTAATTGTTTTTTTATTGTTGTGTTTGTAATTGTCAGGACAAGGTTAGGGTGAAAGAAGTATTTAAAAAATTGTACAGAAAAATGAAAAATTTGGGTTAAAAAAATGAAACAGTGAGCTGACTCATTGACGTTTAGTTGTTCAGTTTCTTCATCACAAACAACGATATTTAAAAAAGAAATTGACAGTGTTGTCAAGATGTAAGATAATTATATTTATCTATACTAATTTTAAAATTATAAAAAGGTAAAGTTTGTGAGCTTATGATGTTGTAGGGGGTAATCTCTGAATCTACTGAAGCGATTTAGATGAAGTTGGTTGAGAAGATAGTTTGAGGCCCTGGAAAGAACATAGGATACTTTTTATTCCGGAAATCATCTCTTAAGGGGGTGAAAATGGGGATAAAAAATTTGTATGGGGAATCAACCTAGGGACGAACCCAAGCGAAGCGAGGGTGAGTCACTAGTATTTATAAATAATTAGCCAACTAAGATTGCTATACAAAAACTCAAGATATTAGATACGCGATTAGCGTCTCAAAAGTGTCCTCAAAAAGAAGCGCACAATTCGAAATTATGCGCTTCTTTCAAATCTTTTGTCTTTATTGTTTTTCGGATGACGAAATTAAAACGCACGTTGGGGACCTTGCCACAATTTGAAGGCTGATTCGCATAGATCTCGACGAGATACGCCGAAAAGTAAAAATATTTTTTTTCGATATCTCGCTTAGTTTTCGACATATCGATACTTAAAAATCGAAAAATGAAAGAAAATGACTATGATTTTATATTTATTTATAAATGCGCAAATAAAAAGATTTTGAAGGATAACAAAAGGCATGCAAAGGCGGTCATATTGCTATGAGCAATCTCATACAGTTGTGTTGAAAGGATTAATGAAACCGTTACCGGATTTAACCTTAGCGCCGCCCTTTGGGCATAGTAAAAATGCCGCTCTATTATCGAAATTTAAAATAAAATGGATAAAGTTTCGATAAAGTTTTTTTTTAATTTCTTATAATTTTTTTGAAAAATGTAAAAAAATAATTTATAAGTGATTTCAATTTTTCGAAAAATGTACTAGTATTTTTTTTATTATTCATTTTTTGGAAAATCAATGAAGCATTTTCGATAACGCGAAGAAAAAAAATTTTCCCGCCCCACGAATTTTGCCGCGTTGGGCACTAGCCCCGAATGCCCGTAGTGTAAATCCAGTGAATGAAACCGTAAACAGGACGGTACAATTAATATAACATATATATATATATACATGCTTAAATATATATACATACATTATTACATAAATAAATATATAAGACCGATGTACATATATACTCGTACGTGCAAAAATCTTAGTTACGTTTTTAAGACTAATTAATTATACCTTCATAATAAAATCACTACATATTGTAAAACAAAGTCCTCCGCCGCGTCTGTCTGTCTGTTCGCGATAAACTCAATAACTACTTCGATTCTCATACTGTTTTCACTAATGGATAGAGTGGTTTTCGAGGAAGGTCTTAGTATATAACTTGTTAAGCTTTTATATACATTGGCTAAAATATAACGATATTTGTTGGGGGTGTCGGAAAAAATAAGCCGTCTGGGAGCTTTCATCGAAAACACTGCCTAAACCATTTGATATAACAAAATAATGTATGGTGGAATTGTGTATCTTATATAGGTCTACAGAAAAATCCGCGATGGCATATGTCTATCCATTTTAATTTAAAACGTTCCTAGGTACAAACCCGAGCGAAGCGCGGGTCAGTCGCTAGTACATTTATAAATCTTAAGTTCAAAATATAATTTATTCGAATGGATTTTACAAGCAAAATGTTTTAGTAACCAAAATTTTATAGGAGTAGTATGTATGACGTCATCGATGGTGTAAGGGTAATTTTAACCCTTACACCATCAATGCCGTCATCCCCATACCCATTGCCGTTTGTTTTATTATCACGCAATCATTTCGGTACCCTTTTGTATGGTACGGCTATTGTATAAGAACCCGGGCCTTCCGCCTTATAACTTTTTAATACATAGTGACAATTTCCGGTAGACAAAATGCCTTATTGCTCATTTTTATTCTTTGCTATAGAAATGTTTATTATTTTTCTAGTTTGTTAGTTAAATGAAATCAATAAATAAAAAGTGGCCGTCACCGGACGTCCGGCAGATGTGGAACATCTATAGATGTTAATATTAGAATTCATAATTAATTAAAACCTTTAACGAATATGGAGTAAAATAGAGTTTCGTTAATAAAATCAATTTATTTATCTTATTATTTTAATAATAATAACAGAATAAATATATTCATAAGTAGAATAGAAAATATGTAAGTACATATTTTTAATAGAGAATTATGGCGTGACAGCGTCATTCCAACGGTCGGTTTTACTGCCAAGGCACGCCAATAGATGTTTCACGTCGAAAATATAACATCCAGAAACTCTAACAGAAATTTTAGATATATTATAGATATCTATGATATATTATTATTCTCTCATTAGCGTCCGACAATCCAGCCGGGCGTGAAGCCAAGAGATGTACTGGTAGACGGTGTGCCATGCGGGTTGTTCCAGGTACTAGACCATGGGAGCAACCCCTTGGTTGTGTGATCTGCTTTGGAAGACCTGCCGTTGGGGCGTCGTGGTTAACCGCGTAAACGATTCTGCGACTTCCCATTAAAACGGAGGAGGTTCTGTTGATTTTTAGTGGGTTGTACTAGCTTCTCTAGCCGTAGACCCATAATAACCATCTGCTTACCAAATAATAGGGTGGAGTGACCATATACGTAATGTGGCTGGCAGCTGTTAGAGCTGAAGGTCGACCTCAATGGCGTGCCATAGTAGTAGGGGAGCCCAAGAGGGGATTTTCTGTAGTTACTCGAGCGCGGCAGATTAACATAAAAGAGGTTACCTTGCGCTCTATTGAGTACTTTCACCATAATATAAGTCTTCTATATAAAGGGGCGCGTCTAGGGAAGCCGATTAAAATATTTAAAAAATGTTTTGATAAGGTAAAAATACTTGAAACCGTCAGATTAAGTTGTGGTAGGCTAGTCACATCCTGAAAAGTGTCCAATTCAATAATCTGCCGATTTGCACAAGCCGAAGAGGCAAAAATCGACTATAAAGTTTATGATGATATGGGGAGGCTTATGCTCAGCAGTAGAAGCCCGAAAACAGGCTGAATATGATGGTATTTTATGTAAAATATGACATTTTAGGATCTACGGATGGGTGCCGGAGTTTTACGACGGGATTGAAAACTTGCCAGAGGATATGCCCGTAGACTTAAAATCACATATCAAGAATATTACTTATTACAACTCAAAACTCGTAAGTATTACATGTTAAATGTTTATCTTTCTTAGTGCCGCCTTAGTGCTTATTTGTTCAAATACTTGTTGTACTTTACAGTAGAGAGCTTTTTCTTCTATTTTAAAAACAATGTTTTGTTTCTAAGATTATTATACATATAAATATACATCAATAAATATGTTGGGACATTAACACACAGCACCATCTGTACGTTATAATTTTCAGGCCAACATGGTGTGGGTGTCTTGCCACGGAGAGACACCAGCGGACCAAGAGAACATAGGACCAATCAGTTATTTCCCCTTTCAGGGTTTTCCAGGATATTACTATCCCTATAACAATGCTGAGGGGTACTTGAGTCCATTGGTAGCTGTGCACTTGCAAAGACCTAGAAGTAAGTAATACTTTCTTAGATATATGCGAATATTTGACATTTTAAATAAAACTATCTTTTCGGAATTTTTCTAAGAGACCAGTCTCTCCCGTGACCATGATTGCTGTAAAGCATTCGAAATGTCGAGAACCAAAAATCAAAATAAATCCGTGAAAAAATCCGAAAAGATAGTTTTATTTTGAAATAATTTATTATTAGACTGTTGCCATTTGTCCGATTGTTATCGGAAGATTAAGATATATTTATTCTTCCAATTATTTTCGGTTTGTATGAATATCTACCATTTTTATTAATTTAATTTTCTTGCAAATAAACATTTGAGCTCAATATGATGTTGCTATTTTGATATCACATTCCGCCTGTCAGTTGTTAGTTGTATTTACATACAAATGTAAATAATTTTTTATGATTTATAAAGCAGAAGAGATTTTTGTATACCAATTATATTTGAAAAATATTTCTTCATTAAATAGCCCATACTTTGTTTATTTTTAAATATACGCACAACATTTTTTTCAAGCGTTTTTTTATTTTATTTTTAAATATATCATAGATATAAGTAAGTAATAAAGTATTTCATAAAAAGACGTATTATCTTTATTTACGTACAAACTTTCAATCGAATTAACGAGTTGTGTATTTTCTTCCAGCTGGTATACTTATAAACATAGAGTGTCGCGCTTGGGCCAAAAATATTAAGTATAATAGAAGAGAACGTCTTGGTGTCGTCCATTTTGAGCTGATGATAGAATAAACTTCTATAACTTTACTGAAATAGACGGTCTTTCCAAAAGACCAATTTTTTCTTCATAAGCAATTTAGAATATTGGCGTGGCATATAACAGGTACTTGTACAGTCTACTTAAAATATCATTTTACAAACTATGAATTTTCATTATTATTTTGTTTGAATCTCACAGAATCTCTTAAATATATTAAAGCGACCAATTCTATTGAAATACAAAAGAATGTGCATATAAATAATTTTAACTTATAATCTAATATGGCTCGGTCTTTTTAGTAGACCAAAAATACCAAAATCCTAAGAATAAAAATCAGTCAAACTAATACTTAAAGTTCAAGAAACTGTTAAACTCCTTTTCTAAGTGATTTATATAATCTATCTGGTATTCGCATATAGTCTTTTAAGAAGACCTTAATATTTTGTATATCTAGTAGTAATTAAATTTTGTGCATTTTTCGTGTTGAAATATAGTTATATTATACAGTGTGTTCAGACTCTTAATAATATAAATAATGTATAGGTTTGAAGCAATTTTAATTAATCATAAACATTTATTTAGCTATATTATGACATTGTGTAGATAAATTGTATGGTTTAAAGTGGGTTTATTAGATATTAAATTAAGGGCCAGGGCCACCCTTACGATGACATTTAAAAAAATATCAGTGGTCTTAAAACTTTAATGAATACAGACCATCCTGTACGTTGTACATCCCTTGTAACTACTCGTACCAAAAGCGAAAATAAAAGCAAAATAAATGCAGCTAATGATATTTTATAAAATTTAGTAAATTTCATTTTAGAAAATATAAATGTCTTATTGAGTGGAAAAATTGTTCACTGGCCAACAATCTGGCCATACTGTGTGTAATAATTGATTTAAGTGCCTGACTGCTGATGACTGAAGATCAGTCAAAAAGCCCATTTTTTTAATGTTGGGAAATGCATATACGCATACCACCTGTAGACATACAGGTTGTTATCTTGGACTCACCGGCTAGAAAAGCCAGTACTACCCACTAAAACCCAAAACAATCTCCCCCGTCTTAATGGGACGTCGCAGGATCGCTTACGCACTCAACTATGACGCCCCGACGGCAGGTCTGCTGAAGCAGACCACAATAAGAATAGGGTTGCTCCAACGGTCCACTCTGTTATCAGAGAATTACCAGGAGCTACCCGCATGGTACACCGCCCACCGCCCACCGAAGTGGGCCACCTCCCCGTGCATTTCTTGGCTTCGCGCCCGGCTGAATTGCCGGGTACTACTGAGCCCCCCCACCACGACAAGGTGAACGCACGTTGGGGGGTAATTTTAACATTTTATTTTTTTTGAGCGCAACCCTAATTCTTTTTCTAAAATAATAATACCTAATACAGTACCCTACTACCCTAATATAATACCCTAAGTTATTCTTTATAACATCAGCTATCTGCCAGTGAAAGTCCTGTTAAAATCAGACTAGCCGTTTCGAAGATTAGCCGGAACAAACAGACACAGAAAAAAAATAAAAATTGTGTTTTCTTATAAGTACCGTACATAATTTTATACGCATTTAGTAAAAAGCTGTTATTTTGACATTACAAACAGCCACTTTAATTTTATTTATCTGTGCAGATAATCATTTTATGGATATTACGAATTGTTTTTATTTTACCAGTGATTTTAACAGAATATAATATAATCCACTACATATATTTAGTAATTAGATGTAATTAATAGTTTAAGAATTGAACGTAATTCCGTCCTGAATGACTTAGTGTCTGATATTTTATTTTCATATCATATATATAGCGTTATAATTATTATTATACATAGGTAATTGCTCATATATTTACCTTTTCGGTTTACAACTTTTATATATATATATATATATAATATATATATATTATAATATATACTCGTATATATATTTGAATTGAATTTAATTTAATGTATGTATAAAAATAATAAATATTGTTTTATATAAAGCCAAATTAATATGGTATATATATTTATTAAATTTGGTAGTTCTCGAAATGTGTATTTTTAGTACAAAAATATTTCTATCTATGATGTGTAAATTCGAACCTACTATATTTAGCATAATATGCAGCTACACTCACTTTATAAAGCAATAAAATGACAGCTATTATTGACCAAAAAACACCTTATTGTATTGAAATAGATCAAAAAAGTACTATATACACAATCCCATGCAAAAGTTCTCTTAAAACTGTCACCAATTGTGTTTAGGTAATCATGTACTTGAAATAAATATACAATAATGTAAATTGAACCTTAAGTGTAATGCTTATTAAAGTTGTTTTCACAAAAAAAAAAGTTAAAAGCGCGCTCACATGTTCACATGAGCGCTCATTCGGCGAGCAATTTTTTTGTCGCTGATTGTGTATTTAGTGCTTTTTTGTTCAATGGTATTTGTTAAAACGTGTTATATACAAAATTTATTTACATTGTGCTACTGTTTGTATATTTTAATTATTATTTTTAATGTAATTCTTTTTTTGATAGAACTTGACGGTGTTGATTAAATACGATATTTATGTTGTGCAGATTTAATAGGCTACTTTTGACCATAGATATGGGTATGGACTGAGCAATACTGTCATCAAATTGACCACTCTCTAGAAAGAGAGAAAGCGTACGTGCGGCCAGTAGTCTGTGTTTTATTCCAATTTCCAATCCATTCCAATTTGAATTTATAAATGGAAATATAAAAAATATTATAATGGAATGCAAAATGGTTATAAATATCTAACTTTATTAATTGTATTTCAATGAATACATAAGACTTCTGGCCGCACATTCGTTTTGTCTCAGTCGTGCATTTTTTTATTTTAAGCTAATGACTGTCAAAAAAACACTCAGTCCACTCTATAAGTCTTGCTTTTGACATAGCATAATATTGGATATATCTTCGTACATTCATAGATAATATGTCTAAAACTTAAGAAATATTAGCATACTATTCAGTATTACATGGTAACATTGAAACATTTTTAAATACACTAACATGGCAACATTTATGGCAGCTTTGAAATTTTGAAATAAAAATGTTGCAAGAAAACAAAATAATCTTTCATGTTCCATTTGTGTATATACCAATATAGGATGGAACATATTGAATAACTGTTAAATATTAAAGATATTAAACATTCCTTTATTGAAGTGAAACTTCTTTAGAATCGTTGTGATTTGAAACTAGATGAAACGAAAATGTGACACTTGAAACAGACAAACGCATAAATATATAGGCTTACTTTTCTGAAGTTTCACTTCTACCGTGTGTGAATTGCACACACACGCACTTTTTTTTTATTTTTTTATAATATTTATAACTGTATTTAAATATTTTAAAAAAGCTTAACCGAGCCGGTAATCGAATCTGCACATCTATTAAATGCTTTGGCTATACTAAAATTTTCATATTCTGTGTTAGTACTCGAATACCGTATATTGTTAGAATGAATCAGCATGACATTCCTATGTGCTAGAAAGAGAGAGATGATGTTTTAATCCTAGTGATTAAGACTAAATCCACAAAGAGATTTGCTTGGTTATGTATTGGTGTCATGAAGACCCTTAGTTGTAAATGAAATAAAATATAAACGTGAGAGTGATGTAAGAATTGATTATTATTTTTTTGAAATTATTAAAAAGAAATGAAATTGACTTTCTTTGATGAAATATTGAAAATAAAAAAAAATGTTTTTATTGTATTTATTTTAAAATATTAACCCTGATTAATTATTTTAAAATAAATAAGATAAAATTGCCTTTCTTCTAATTTTACATAAATATAACTCTCAAGTTCGACTTTTGACAGATTTTGTATAGAAATTTGTCAGAAATGTTATAATTAGCAATTCATAAAGTAGAAGAATGCCTATAAGTTAGTTTATTTTTTCTACACCCAGTGTTTTATGTGGCTTATTATGTGCCAATAAATTATATTTTGATATACTTATATATTGCAAACCATAAAAAAAAACTTTTGTAAATCTAGATTTTTATTTATAAGTTAAAAAGAATAATTCAATTCTCACATGACATTTAAAATGGTGTGCTTGTATAATTATATACTTTATAACTATATCGAGTACAGTTGGCGATAGAAGTGGTTTTATTTTAAACATTTATTATTTTTGTGTATTCTATTTTTTTTTAAATGACTTATAAATAGTCTAAGATCCGAAGTAAGTTGTCCTTAACTCAAGTGAATATTAAAAAAATGTCTTTTTTAATTTAAGGTGGCCTTGACTTTAAATTAAGTTTGGCCTTATTGATTAGGCAACCTATTTGCCATGTCTTTATTTATATATTATGTTTAATACTAAATACTTTTGATTGTGTAACAAGATGACTGAAGGACGCCTTTATTTCGGATCTTATGCTATGATATATTTTTAATAGATATTAAATGTGAAAGACTTAATGTATCCGTCCGATTTAGAATTCCATTTAATAGTTTGTAACTCCTGTGCCTGTATTAAAGTAGTTTTTTTTTATATTTGAATTTTATTTATTACTTTTTTCAAAATGTATAGAATGATCAAAATTGGTTAGTCCGTATAGTAAAATTACGAGGGAAGATACATTTTGATACATACATACAGGTCAAACTCATAACCTTCTTTTGGGCTTCGCCGCAGTCGGGTAAAAATAGTAGGGTTTTATTTTTTGGGAAAATAGACAATAGATGGCGTTGATCCAAAAACTGTCGAACTACTTCATTTTATGAAAATATGTCCACTAAAATGTGTAAAAAACATTCTCATTTAAGAAAACTAATTTTACCGACTTTAATCATTTTAAACCGCTATCAACCAATTCGTAGACTACAAAATATATTCTAATTATTATACCAAAAAATAGCCTAACCTAACCAGCCAGATAAAATGAATTTTGATGATTGAATTTTGAAAAATATTATCAATTCCAAAAAATCCTTTATTCTATATATGTACTCATAAACATAAACAAACGGCTACAAGCACTCTAAAGTTATTTACATCATCCATAATTATTTTGCCATTTAAGGTAAATTCGATCAGTAAATATTGCTTACTTTCTATACAGACTTTACCATATCTTTTTGCCTCTTTACGTGGGCGATGATAAATCAATCGAGACAAGCTGTTAGCGATGGTACATATATAATACGATATTCGTTGTTTTCGGAACTAAAGACGTCAGCTTACAACACCTGATACCTAACAATAACTGTTCTAGATTCTAATTACTATATCGTCTGGCGCCTGTATCTATACTTTGAAATTAGAACTATCATTTTAACAACATAAACAGAGTCTGTCTGTTACCCCATCACAGAAAAACCAGTGGATGGATTTTGATGAAATTTGGTATGGTGATAGCTGGTTATCCAGGTCAACATATAGGATACTTCTTACCGCAGGAAAATGTCTCATTTCTGAGAAAAAATACAAAAACTGCAATGTAAGAGTATACTAATATGTAAAACTTAAGAATTTGGTTTTTGGTCATCTGAACGCGGGCGGAGCCGCGGGCAATGCAATATATAAAAACAGTAACAAATATATCTTCAAAAACTGGCATGGGACGTTAAGTCAAGCCAAAGAATAAGATTCAAAAATCGAAAGCTCTAATTGTATAAACACAAATTGGAACTTAGGCACATCACCTAAAGTACTCTTATAAACGAAACAACGTGCGATTTAATTTTGCTATCCGAAAAGCAATGAACAAGAAAGAGATTTGAAAAAAGCGCATAATTTCGAGGATACTTTTGAGACGCTAATAGTTCTGTATCTCTGAGTTTTAATATATCAATGTTGTAAGTATATTTAATATTTATGTAGTATGTATTCAGCCCTTTTTAACGTTCCACTGCTGCGCATGGGCCTCCCGTCAATACGAGGGGGATAAGGCCATAGTCCACCACGCTGGCCAAATGCGGGTTGGCGGACTTCACATGTCTTTCGAAAACTTGCTAGGTTCTCTCAGACATGCAGGTTTCCTCACGATGTTTTCCTTCACCGTTAAGACAAGTGGTAATCATGTTAGAAATGATTCGCACATGAAAACATCAGAGGTGCGAGAACCTGGATTTGAACCCGCTTCACTCGGTTTCTCAAGCGAGCGCGTTACCACTGGGCTACCACTGCCTTTTTTTATGTAGTATGAGTTAAAGTAAATAATAAAATAAGTAAATAAAGTGTTGCTATTATTTGTATTTAGCATGAATTTGACATTATTTATTTAAACATTTGCAACGACGCTGTATGAGTTGATTTTAGCGCAATCTTAGGAATATAGTACTCATAGTAGCAATAAACGAATAAATACATATTTATTAACCGACTTCCAAAAATGAGGAGGTTCTCAATTCGTCGAAATCTTTGTTTTTTTTATGTATGTTCACCGATTAATCGAAGACGTCTGAACCGATTTGGATTTTTTTTTGTTTCGAAGGGTATTATACTTCCAAGGTGGTTCCATGTAAATTTTATCGAAAACGGTCGAGCGGTTTTTTAAAAAATCAACAAAGAAATTATTTTTTAAAACAAAATAGATTAATCGAATATGTTATTAAAAACTTTCTTCTTACAAATTACCTACTTATTAGGTACGTCTACACTAAAAATAGAAAAATAAAACCCCAAAAAAAACCGGTTTCCAGGCACTAAAATGTAAAAATAACTAAACGGGGGCTTTCATTTAGAATAGATACCTAATCAAATATTTTCGAAGTCGGTGCCTTGGACCCTTTATGATTGTTTGTTTGTAAGGAATAAGCTCCGTAACTGCTGAACTGATTTAGATTTTTTTTTCTATTGAAAGATAGGCTTGCGCTTGACTACAATCAGCGCTGGGAAGCACTGATGAGGTCTAGGTTGTAGCGCGCTTGCCTAGAAAAAAGTTTGATAACCTGGGAAGGACAGGATTCTTCATCCCGGATATTATCTCTTAAAGGGGAGGGGAAAAAGGGTTGAGAGTTTGTACGGAGAAGCAACCCAGGGACTAACAGAATCTTTTGCTTAACTTTTGTGTTAACATTTTATATATTTTTGCCTACAGAGAGCTATAGCCTATAACTGATACATTTATTTTCATACGCATGTGAAAAACCTAGTAAAAATTTTCCAGTTCAGTACAGTTATTACTGCAGTTAGTATGATTTCAATAAAATCTGAGATTTATTAGATGTAACGCCGGCTGTCCGATGTGATACGATCCCTCATTCGACAGACGAGAAGGGACTTTGGTCTATAAGTAATGACGTATGACGTAGTATAACATAAAATTAGGATCTATAATATCTATATGGCTATGACGCACAATACATAAAATTAACTAGAATATATTAGTGTAATAATAATTTATATACATTTCGTGTTCATCTATTCTATTTGTATGGGAAATAAATTGTCGCTAAGCACTTGCATTGAAGTTTAATGAATCAGAAAACAACTTTGACAGGCCAAATAACTATCTATTAATATGTACTATATTTGTTTTTTTTCACAATAGCAGAATCTATTTATAAAACAATATATCCAGAAATATTTTTGCTTGCCATGCTTGGATAAAAACATCGGTTCGAATCAACCGATAGCTACCATATGTCATTTGACGCTTTGCACGTGCGCCACATGCGCACGCGCAGTCTTCGCCGCACTGCCGAATGAGACAGTATCGTATCATCGCTGTGCTCATATAATACTTAATGGCAAATAAATCGAATGGTGTTGAATCGGAATGGGCCAGGGCGCCGCCTCCGAATGCACCATTTGTAGAAAGATGCCTCAGAGCTATCTACGATCCAGACGAAAAAACTCTGTTAGGCAGAACACCGAAACGATGGGGTAAGTTTTTTGTTTAATAAAATTTTAATTTTCGTGAAACTTTTACTAACCAATTGATATAAATATTGATATAATTTACCTATTGTAATATATAATGTTTTTATAGAACACCTCTAAGTTATGAAGTACAAGATGTACTTGCTTATTAATTTATTATATCTTTTTTTTCCTCACATATATTTTACATGACGTTGAATTAAAGCGTGAATATAAATAAGAAAGTTGACGTTATCAATAGAAACAAAATATATATTTAATATATACATAGGTTAAGCATGTATTGTTTGGTGCCCTATAAATATTTTTTATTATCCCATTGAAATACCATCGTACCATTTGTCTATTTATGTGGCGCTTTGGCAGACGTGTACAAGTGATCATCCAAACAATTAACGTTGTATAACCATGTGTGTGGCTTCCTGGGTTTACATACTAGGATATTAGAAAGATTTAGGTACTCATAACTGAAATTACTGTATTGATTTTGGTGAGACTTTGCATTTTGTAGTGAGGTTTTGTAATCAGGTTTAATCTAAGTTATATCTTTTTAAATAAAAATGCACATTAGAGTGTCTGAGAAGACTACATACAAAATTACACATTTTTTCAGGCAGAGAAACACAGTTTTTCTTGAAATTTATGACACTACACTTTAGTTATAATTGAAGAGCGGCTCACTCTCGCTTCGCTCGGGTTCGCTTCTAGAAACACAAAACAAATCTATACTACAGGACCATACATGTTTCCAGGATAAAAATGAGCTATACCTATTATTGTAAAGTTTCATTAAAATTTATTCAGAAGTTTTTTCGTGAAGGAGTAACAAACATCCATACATCCAGATATCCATACATCCTCACAAACGTTTGCATTTATAATATTAGAAGGATTCATTAAAAAAATAACCATGAAAATCTATTAAAAATTTGCGAAAATATCGTGTACATAAAAACCTACATCTGAATAACAACGTACCTGAGTTGAGCAAGAGAGGAGCCGTTTACGAATTTGGTAGAAAAGAGCTTTAAAAAGCTGAACCTGCTAGAAAATTCTAGTTTATAATTACTCTTTATTTCTTTATATATTAAAAATATATCCGTATAACTGAGAACATCAAAATAATTCAAAGGAAAAGGCCAAAATGATTGCGATTATTACAAACTGCCATCGTTTTGAAAAGTTTTTAAGATTACCCTGAACAAGCAGACAAATAAATAAAATTAAAAGATTTTTTTTATATTGTGAATTGAGCAGTGGTAGCCCAGAGGTAAAGCGCTCGCTTGCGAAACCGAGTGAAGCGGGTTCAAATACCGGATCTCGCACCTCTGATATTTTCATGTGCGAATCCTTTCTAACATATATTTACCACTTGCCTTACGATAAAGGAAAACATCGTGAGGAAACCTGCAACTGCAACCGGAAATACATGTCTGAGAGAACAACCTAGCAAGTTCTCGAAAGACATGTGAAGTCCGCTAACCCGCACTTGGCCAGCGTGGTGGACTATGGCCTGATCCCCTCGTATAGAAGGGAGGACCGTACCCAGCAGTGGGACGTTAAAAAGGGCTGAATACATGTTGTGAATTATGGGCTGAATGGTGCATTTGTCTGGAGCTATCAACTATGTCTAAAGTCGCTAGATGGTTTTCTTTGCTGCAGGAGTGGTTTGTCTACGTCTGGTTGAGATCATAAAGTGGAGAAATCAGTGGAAAACTTACTATGTTCTAGGAATCATTCTTAATAATATAAGTACGAAAGTATTTTTGTAGGTTTGTCCTTTTTTACATAGCAACTTTTTCAGCATACTCTTTCTTTTTTCATATGTATAATTTATGGGTCGAAAAATAGTAGACGTCTTTCTACCCCGATCCTCGTGGGATAATTCCAACCTCTTATGCAAAATTCGCCTCGAAACGCAAATTAAAGGCGTGTCTCAAGTCTAGACTATTTTAACTGGATAATCTCTATGCTAACAAATTTAATCAAAATCAACGTTAGCCTTGACCCAGGACGCTTCAGTGGGATATATCGATATGAGTCTTGATAGAACCTTGGAAGCAATCATAGCAATGGAACCAAATTAATACACGCTGTTTACATGTACACTGTATTGCTTTTATTGATTGCACCGCTAGTGATGTACATAATTATTATATGAATATTTGTAAAAAATATATTAATATAGATATATCCTGTATAAGAGCGAAGTCACTTAATCACAGATTAATCATGAAATGTCAGAAATTATGATCTAAATATATAAAATATCCAAATATTCCAAATTTTTATTTAGCGGGTAGATGCTTCACGGGAATTAGGTACACGTTGAGAAAGGATTTTTGGAAATTAAATTCTAAAAGGAAAAAAAAGAAAAGAAGTTTCGTGATTTCTAAACTTGCCGAAAGGGCCCCCGAATAAATGCTAGTTAATAGATTCCTTCTTCATAACTGTTCCTTTTATATGATTAAATTCTTGTTCCTATAACTTGCTGCAAGAAAAACCAGAGGTAAACACTGTTTTGCTTTAAGATACTAGCATCATGTCATCTTGTATTCAGCCCTTCTTAACGTCCCACTGCTGAGCACGGGCCTCCCTTCAATATGAGGGGGATCAAGCCATAGTCCACCACGCTGGGCAAGTGCGGGTTGGCAGACTTCACATGTCTTTCGAAAACTTGCTAGGTTCTCTCAGACATGCAGGTTTCCTCACGATGTTTTCCTTCACCGTAAGGCAAGTGGTAATCATGTTGAAAATGATTCGCACATGAAAATATCAGAGGTGAGAGACCCGGGATTTGAACCCGCTTCACTCGGTTACCCGAGCGAGCGCGTTACCACTGGGCTACCACTGCCTTATCATGTCATCTTAGTTCTACCGTTCTTAATAATGCCGTTGGCTGTTTCCAACTGGTACGCAACCACAGAACAAAGATTTAGTAACCCTTAATACACTTTCTCAACTTACCTATGCCAGTGTTATTTACTTGAGTGTATTTGTAGGTAATAGTGTTCTTTGAATATTGTAGACTATTTACAAAAACCAGTTTTCACTCTGTGGTCAAAATTCTACCATAAGAATAAAACATATATATAAATAACCTATCTATGTATATAAAAATTAACTTTCTGTAGTTTTTTTTATTAATAACATTAAAAGTTGTCAATAACAAATAAACAAAATAAATAAATATATTATAAAAATAAAAAATAAACCCGACTGCATAAAAGCTAACTAAAAAGATGAAAACAAGTTCAGGATGGAATATACTCGTAGTACTCGTATGCAGGTTTTTTATTTTTCAGTAGGAAAATTAGCGATAATGATTGTTAACCAATTTTAAATCATTATATATCCTAAACTGTTATTTACTAAAAATGATTTTTAAATACCTATTTATCGATACCCCACTTGACATGATAGTTCGTCGATTTTAATTTTTTTTCTTTTTCGCATTATGGACTCTAGCAGCTATTTAATTTTTTTATGTCACCTATCTAAGAATACTTGGACTAATGAGACGAATCTAACGATACCTTAATTAAAGAAATCCATCGAGTGGTTTAGAAGATATGAGGGAATAAAGAATATTACAAACAAACAAACATACAAAGATAGGCGCGAAAAATATAACCCTTTCCTTGCAGTCGGGTAAAAAAAGAAAATAGGCATTGAACCGTTTTGTCTTTGCCTATTTATTTAGTATATATTTATCTTTATACGTAAAAAATTAAAAATTGAGTGAATGAAATAGTTTTTGGTGAGAATTGGGATGAAAGTTTGTATGGGGAAGCAAGCTAATATCAAAGCTTAGCCATTCAAGCTTTTAGCAGCCATTTCCTAATCGAGATTTTGTTATTATAACATTAAGATAAACAACAGTATTGCAAGTTCAGCTTCAAAATAACATGCTATATTGCATCCAATTGACAGGCATTTTAACTTGATATGGCAATGTTTTTAATCTACATAATATATCTATACATCTTTATATATATAATTCTTCTGTGAGTGTGTATGTCACTGAACTTCTCTCAAACGACTGGACCGATTTTGATGAAATTTTTTGTGTGTGTTCAAGGGGATCTGGGAATGGTTTAGATTCACAATTTGAATAATAATTTTCATCAAAAAAATTATTAAAAAAAGTTGGAAATTTTCAAATTAAAGACGTGTAGACAGGACAACGTCTGTCGGGTCCACTAGTATATATAATAAAATTGTAACTGATCATTGTCTGTAAATGGAAGATATTTGAGAAGAACTATTATTGTGGGTCTTTAATAATGCAATAGAGCCCAGAACAATGTTTTTAGAATTTTTGTCGGTTTGTCTGTGCGTTTATGCGTGCGTCTCAGAAACAGCTTAACCGATTTGTGTGCGGTTTTTACTAATGTATTGTGGTAAGCTTCATTTAACCGATTGAAATATATGTTTTATTTCAATCGGTTCTTAAATAAAAAAGTTACATCAATTAAAAAAATCACCTAGAAACGAATTCGAGCGAAGCTAATGAGTGGTGAGTCGCTAGTATATACGTACATAAACTACATATTTAGCGTTTATAGATAACGAGCGAGTTTGAGTTTAGGAGTTTAGGTTTTGCACCTCTGAAATCGTTATGATTGATGATAATTTTTAACTTGATTTCCTGCATGAGGACATCTGCATTGCTGAAAAAGAACCTAATCAGTTTTTTCCGGTAATCAAACTAAAAAGCCATTTGAGAAATACCGGATGCGACGGAAATCGATTCCACGCCTCTTAATATCGCGACCAAGCTGCTTTACGATTTGATAGATTGCAATTTCTGTTGTACCTATTGACATGAACTGGTTTTGAAAAGCGTTGATTAAATCTCAAGGTTCCTTGGTTCGTAGACCATGATTTCATTGTTTATTTATAAGCTATTCTAATATTATAAAGAGGAAAAATTTGTTTTTTTTCTGTTTATTTGTATCGAATAAGCTCCGAACTATTGAACCGAGTTAGATGAAATTTGA